TATGTTATTATGCTTCCATTTTTAAAAAGATTTATTTTTTTTATTTGAAAGGCATTTATAGAGAGGAGGAGGAGGAGAGAGAGAATCTTCCAACTGCTGGCTCACTGCCCAAATGAACGCAATGACCAGGGCTTGGCTAGTAGAAAGCCAGGAGCCAGGAGCTTCATCTAGGTCTCCCATGTAGGCGCAGGGGCCCAAGCCCGTGGGCCATCCTCTGTTGCTTTCTCAGATGCATTAGCAGGGATCTGGATTGGAGGAGGAGCAGCCGGGACTTGAAAAGATGCCCATATGGGCTGCAGGTGCTGCAGGCTGTGGTTTAGCACACTGTGCCAGAGGGCCAGGAAACCTATGCTTCCATTTTTAAGAGCTTCCTATTTGGTAATACACATCCTCCAAGTTTTTAGTTATTCCCACAAGTAAAGAGTCTATCTTCTTATTGCATATTTCTCTTATTTCTGTTCAAAACATTAACTTGAGAGTAATCTTTTGACTCTTTCTGTTGCTTCATTCCCCATAATAAATCACTTTGGGCATTTCTCCTAGTAACCTCAGAAAGTGGTCCAAGACACCTCATCATCTCCACTATTGTTGTAGTCTAGATTACTGTTCAGCTTCCTTCTGTTCTCTGTTGCCAGTCTTGCCTTCTGCTCTTCAACTTGTTCACAATACAATAGATTTATCTTCCTAAAACACAAATCTGATCATGCCATTCTTCTGATTAAAATCCTTCAGTTCTCACCATTACATTTGATAATGACTATGCTGCTTAACCTGGTCTCCAGAGTCTACCATGATCTGGCCTCCATGGGCTTTCCCGACTGCATCTCCTATTACTCTCCATCCACAAGCAAACCCTACTCATGTACCTTTTGCCTTACACACTCTTCACTCCCCTTTACTCATGATGGTGTGAACTATTCCTGCTTATTCTTGAAGTATAAACTTAGGTGTGTGTCAGTCAGGCTGTGGGATGCCTCCGATCCTCTTATCTGCATCCGGTGTTTTGTTTAGATTTTCGTCACGAATTCTTTCCTTCCTGTCCCATAGCATAGATGTTTTTCAGATTCATCCATTTTGTTTTAAATGACTGGATTTCATTTATTTTTACAGCTGTGTAGTATTTCATAGTATAGATATCCCAAAATTTCTTTATCCAGTCTTCAGGTGTTGGGCATTTGGGTTGATTCCATGTCTTAGCTATTGTGAAATGAGTTGGAAAAACATGGGGGTGCAGAAAACTTTTTCATGTGCTGGTTTCATTTCCATTGAGTAAATTCCCAGGAACCATGGGAATGGTAGGTCATATGGATCATGGGTCATATGGTAGGTCTATATTCAGATTTCTGAGGTATCTCCATACTGTCTTCCATAGTGGCTTTACCAGTTTACATTCCCAGCAGCAATGGATTAGAGTACCTTTATCCCTACATCCTCACCAGCATTTGTTATTTGTTGATTTCTGTATGAAAGCCATTCTAACTGGGGTGAGGTGAAACCTCAGTGGGGTTTTGACTTGCATTTTCCTGATGCTTAGTTATCCTGAGCATTTTTCACAAGTCCGTTGGTCATTTGGCTATCCTCTTTGGAAAAATGTCTGTTTAAGTCTTGCCTGTTTCGTCACTGAGTTGTTCATTTGTTGTTGTGGAGTTTCTTTATCTCCTTATATATTCTTGTTATTAATCCTTTATCAGCTGAATAGTTTGTAAATAATTTCTCCCATTCTGTTGGTTGCCTCTTCACTTTCCTGAGTGTTTCTTTTGAAGTACAGAAACTTCTCAATTTGATGTAATCCCATTTGTGAATTTTGGCTTTGATTGCTTGTGCCTCTAGGGTCTTTTCCAAAAAGTCTTTTCCTATGCCAATGTCTTGCAGGGTTTCCCCAATGGTCTCTAATAATTTGATGGTATCAGGTCATAGATTTAGGTCTTTAATCCATCTTGAATGGGTTTTTGTGTAAGGTAGGGGCCTTGCTTCATACTTTTGCATGTGGAAATCCATTTTTCCAGCACCATTTTTTTAAGAGACTATCCTTGCTGCAAGGATTGATTTTAGCTCCTTTGAAGATGAGTTGGTTGTGATACTTGGATAGATTTCTGGCATGAAAATTACAAAACCTTAAAGAAAGAAATAGAAGAGGATACCAAGAAATGGAAAAATCTTTAATGTTTTGTAATTCTCATCGTAGAGATCTTTGACATCCTTGGTTGAATTTATTCTATGGTATTTGATTTTTTTGTAGCTATTATGAATGGGATTGTTCTTAGAATTCTTTCTCAGCCATGGTATTGTCTGTGTATACAAAGACTGTTGATTTTTGTGTATTGTTTTGTATCCCGTGACTTTTCCAAACTCTTCTGAGTCCCAGTAGTCTCTCAGTGGAGTCTTTTGGATCCCCTATATATAGAATCATGTCAACTGCAAATAGGGATAGTTTGACTTCCTCCTTCTCAAAATGTATCGCATTGATTTCTTTTTCTTGCCTAATGGTTCTGGCTAAAACTTCCAGGACTATATTGAATAGCAATCGTGAGAGTGGACATCCTTGTCTGGTTCCAGATCTCAGTGGGAATGCTTTCAAATTTTCCCCATTCAGTAGGATGCTGGCCATGGGTTTGTCATAAATTGCCTTGATTATGTTGAGAAATGTTTCTTCTATACCCAATTTAAAGCATCATTTTTACAATGGGTAAAAGTTAGCTCTTTAGCAGTTCTCTGTATCTACACAACTCGTGATTTTCTCAGAATTAATTCCAACTGCTCATAAATGTGTAACGTGTTAAGGTCTTCCTTCTACTGCAACTGCTTTGGAAGGGTTTGGAGTCAAGCCTTTGCTCAACCCTGCAGCATTTGGCAGCACTTCTATAAAAATCTCTTTTCACACTTTGATTCACAGTTCTTCATTTTATGCAGCAGTGTAAAAGACACCATGCAATAGATGTGATCTTAATTAAAGAACAACAATTTGTTTTTACATCTTTTGGCTTGGAATATTTATAGGTAGTTTGAATTATTCTGTTGGATTTTCTAATATAGTTGATGACATTAATCAATATAAATAGCCAAAGCAAATGCACATTTTGAACTTTCTATGTTGACATAATTATTAGTCTATTTTATTCAGATTAAAATGTAATAATATACTCTAGCAAACTTAATATGTGGAACTTTTTAATTAAACAAGAAACTTCTATGAAACCATTCATGATTTTTTTATTTGATGATTGACAATTGTATCCCTTGGGGAGCATGCTTCTTTGAAGGCATGTGTAGGTTCCAAGTTTGGGGTATAGTTGTTGGATTTGTAAGATTGTAGCTTCTGTTCATGTCCCCCATACAATAGATAAAATCCAAAAGTGTCTGGGAAAGAGATGCAGGCAGAGCAGAGATGCAGTATTTGCAGCAGCTGGAAGTGGAAAGAACTGGAGGAATAGAGGATGGCGACCATCAGGCTAAAAAGCTGCATTTAATCACATGTGAGCAGAGGCGGATCTGTGCTCATTTGCTAGACATGACATAACAAAGCACCAGACAGCATGGCTTCAACACATGTGTTTATTTTCTCAGTTCTGAAGGCTACTTGTTCAAGATCAAGCTGTCACCAGGATTGGTTTCTTCTGAGATCAAGCGGAAAGGATCTGTTCTAGGCCTCTCTGCTTGTCTTGTATATGGCTTCTTCCCCATATGTCTTCGTTCATTCTGTGCATGTCTGATTCAAACTTTCCTCTTGTAAAGATTTCAGTTATGTAATATGGTTACCCCCTGTAAAGAGCCTGTCTTTAAATAAGGTTGTATTCTGATGTCCCAGTGGTTAGGACTTCAACATATAAATTTGGGAGGGTATACAGTTCAACCCATAACAAATACTAAAAGTAATTAAATTCAGTGATAGCATCTGGGTAGGAAAGGAAAGAAAGGTGTATTTAGGAGTAAAGTAAGGCAGGCCCTGGGCGATTGATAGAAATGAAAGTGAAATATTCATAATTGGCTTCCTGGTCTTTGTCTACATGGTCATAGAACACACCATGTACCTAGATATGGATGGGGCAGACCACCTTAAAGGCTTAGAGTCTAGGCTAACACCTTCTCCTCAGGCCTTTGAATACCTTTTTCCAGACCAGGTAAGGTAGTAACAGATCTCTCCAAAGAAGAAAGAGAATTTAAATTAATTTAATCCCGCCCATAAGTATGGAGCAGCTACTAGTTGCAAGTCCATGTTAGGTCAGAATGATATGACCTCACTCTCTAGTTAAATTGAAAGCCAACAATTTACTTCAAACATGGTGCTCAGTTCCCTCAACGTTAGCAATGGAAGAGAATCACTGCAAGGGACAAAGTTCCAATTGGCCAAGATTCGCATTTCCTGGTGACTATTCACCATTTGCCACTGCCAACCATTCCAGTTCTACATTCCAGGAAACTGAATTAAAGAATACCAGAAACCCCCATTTCCTTTTATTTCACTATCTCCAAGTTTTTAGTGAAATATTAGTCAAGCAGGTGGCATGTACTGAACTCTCAACTCTTCTGTAAATTGGTTAAATTTTCTTTGGAAAACTTGGACTTTCTGAGCCTCAGATGCTGTCCTGAGGAATTTTGTGATAAAGAAGAGGTAATCTATGGGATAATACACAACAGTACCTTGTGACACAAAGGTAGTACACATTAAATGTAAGCTGAGTATAAATATCAATCAGTGGTTTCTTTTCAAGCTAGATTTCCCATACCTTGCAAAAATAAGTTCTTTATTTCTCTCTCAAAATGTATTCCATACTTACATATTTGATTCATAAATTCTATGGAACAAATAGCTCAGTGTCAGATTTGTAATCTCACTTTTATCTTATAGAACACAAATGACTAAATCTAAGATAATGTGATGCTTTTTAAATTTTTATTCTAATGTTTGTTTATTTCCTAAAATTATGCTGTAGCTAAATAATATATATGTATATATTTGCACATGGTGCATGTTTATGTGTGTATATATTCTTTTTCTTTAGAGATCAAGACCTGGCAAATGTAATTGAGGTAAATTCTCATGTGTCTGAAAATAAGAATGGAAGGTAAGGTTTATTATAATTTTGAGTATCATATGCACTTGTATTAATATTGTAACTCCAAAATGTTTTTCTGGAGAATTGAATTGTAGTATTTTATTTAAATATAAAAACTGTTCAACTATTCTAAATTAAGATACAGAGTGCTTAGTAGCCTATAATGAAAAAAAAATTTCACACAGTCCTAAATCTGTGAGAATTTCTAACCTGGGGCTTGCTGTTCTATTGTTTAGTGTTAAAGGCATCATAGAAATTCAAAACTGTTTCCTTGGGCTATGAAGGTTTATTTTTACTTACTGTTGCTTGGTAGGTTTTCAGCTGTGCAGAAAGCACTCTGGGAATCTCTTCCTTGGATACCCAGTGCTAAAAGAATGCACAAATTCATCACAGCCGCAAAAGAAGCAGAACCCAACTTTGAAATTGTTTTTTACACCAAGGAGTATAAATGCTTTAAAACTGTTATACCTTGTTTGCCATTACAAGGACAATTAGGATAAAAGCTATACTTCATTTTTGTTACAGACTGTTTAAATTAGGAAAAGTACAACTTTTCCATGATTAGCAGTTGTTTCCCACAAACAAATATAAGGGAAACCTTAAAAATAATTCCTATCTTTTATCCTCCAAATTTGCAGCTGCTTTTCTGTTCCTTAGGTAAAGTGTTATTGTGTGTGGAGACTGGAAAAGATGGGCAAAGAACTGGCTTGCTGTATTTGTTCATTTGTTTTGTTTTGTTTTGCTCTGTAAAGTCTACAAAAGGCTCTTCAGTCTAACATTTTTTGTTCCCTTAATTCACCAAAATCATCATCTGTCTTCTTTTTTGTGATCCCAAGAAAGCATTGGATACATTGAGGAAAGATAAATTATCACTAGGTTTTTGCTTGTCCTGGAAACATTTCTACTATTTTGGGATAGGACTGGACCTTACCATTACTCAATCAGATTTGCATGTTATTTAGAAGTGATGGAGGTAAAAAGCAATTACAGTACCTGATCAGGCATCATTAAGGAATTCTCCATTTGATATGACGGAGAAGTACTTCAGCTTTATTTGGTCTTGTTGGTGAAGTGTGGTGTTTTTCAATTTTATTTAAGTTATGCAAGTTTCATATATTTCATATATACAGATTTAGAAACATAGTGGGACTTCCCTTCCCTCCTGCCCACATTCCAACCCTTCCCCCAACCTCGGATTCCCATTCTTAATTTTTACAGCAATCTATTATCAGTACACTTAGTGATCTTAATATTAACCCTACTCTAAGTAAAGGAGTTCAGCAAGTAGTATGAAGAGAAAGAAAGCAAAACAAGGTATATCAAAACTAAGCAAAAGATTGTTCCTCAATGGAAGAAGCAAGGACTACAATCATCCATTCTCAAGATTTCTATTTCACTCCAATATATTACATTTCAGGTATTCTGTTAGTTGCATCAGTTCAGGGAAATCATATATTTGTCTTTTTCACAATTCACAATAGCTAAGATATGGTATCAACCCAGATGAAGTATGGTTTGGTTAGAGAGATTAATAAGGAAAAATACAAGTATAGTCACATTGAGGGTTAAGGATTCAACTAATGAATTTGAGGGAAATGCAGTTAAGTACATAGCAGTTCTCTTTGCAAATGATTTCACTCTTCTGTTCAGAGGTTTGACAGACTCTTGATTTTTGGTTTTATGTGTCTGAAGACAACATGAACACATTTCAAACTTACCCTTTCACACCATCTATGTATTAAATTTGTGATCCCAAGAAAGCCTTTGATAGGAGGAGAGAGAAAAGTTGTCAGTAGGTATTTGCTTTTCCTGGAAACATATCTAAATTTCACAATATCTATTTGTTATATGTTTTTTATTTCTTTAAAGCTTTATTTAGTTATTTGAAAGGCAGAGGTACAGAGGGAGAGGGAAGTGTGTGGGGAGGAGAGAGAGAGAGAGAAAGAGAGAGATGCATCTTCTGTCTGCTGGTTCACTTCCCAAATGACCTTGGTGGCTGGAGCTGGCTGGTCTGAATCCAGGAGTCAGGAGCCTCTGTGTTTCCCACATGGGTGCAGGGCCTAAGCATTTAGGCCACCTTCCACTGCTTTTCCAAGTCCATCAGCAGGGAGCTGAATAGGAAGTGGAGCAGCAGAAATTCGAACCAGTGCCCATATCAGATGTTGGTGGCCCTTTTGTTATATTTTAAATATTCAAATATATTAGGGACAATAAACCTAAGTCAGAACTGTCTAAATTACTCAGATAGTTTAGTGTTAGTCCACTTTAAAACCAGAAGACATAGATGATATGTGAACAAATGTCTGTTTTTTCTTTAAGAAGGATAATTCTTGACTTAGATCTAATTCTCCTTGAGGTTTTCATGTCTCTCTTATGCAAGGGATTAGTAATATGGGGCAGGAAAAGAACTACAATTTTCACTCTTACATTAAAAATTTCCTCTGTTCTATAGGAAAAAGCAAATATGTCTACTCTTTGTTAAACCTAATTACATTTTTGTGTAACAAAAATCTAACTCACAGTTCTGCAATCTTCAAAATATTGCTTTCCATCAAAAAATGGAAACTGGAATTTCTCGGGATCATTTTCATTCAGTTGATAAATCCTCAGATGTAGTATACAGGGAGACAGTGTTACAGGAACCAATCTCAGTTGGTTTCTTTCCTTGATGAAAAGGTGTTATAGTCTAGCCTTAGGTAATGTGGACATTCTTCAGGATTATTCTCAAAGCTAAGATAGTAGTGTCTGTGGAAGGAGTAAAATAGAACGAGAACAAGGTACCCTGTTTGTAAAATATTGTAAATTGAGCAGAATTTTAATAAAACAAGGGACTTCTAAGTGGCTTGGATTTTAAGTGTTAGGTACTTGCATTTGTTATCAGACTGGATGGCCAACTCAATGGATTCACTGGAGCTCTGCGCAACCAGTCCACAAGGACCACTACTTATTCTTATGAATCCAGGAACAATTTCAGGTACTGTGGTCAATTACAAAACAAATGACAGGACTATTCTTCCTCTCTCTCTCTCTTTTTTAAATCTATATCCAACCTAACCCTAACTTTAAAATGCAGAAATTGCTGATTTTATTCTTACACATAAGTGTTGAGTTGTTAGCAACCCTGTCATTGTTGTGACATTTGGATAGAAAAGTGTAAAAATGAGATGTTTCCTTTAAAAATTTACAATTTAAAAAAGCGTGATTGTGACACCAGTGTTGACATTTGTTAGGTGGATTAAATGTTTCATTAAATCATGTAGTCATGATTGCTAATTAACATCTGCTTTTATTTGAGATTTATGGGGAAAGGTATGGCTTGAAAATATGAACAGAATATCAGGGGAACAGACACAAAAATGTTATACAAATACTCAAAATTATCTTTGTGCTCTGCATTGACTAATTCTCATAATACTCTGAAAGTAGCCAAGGCAGTGGTAGGTAAGAATAAAATAGGAGAAGCAAAGAAATTGTGCAGAAGTGGATTAAGACTGCTTTAACATTTATATTGCAACAGTTACAGTTCAGAAAGGATAGACAGTAGTCCTCTTTTATCTACAGTTTTTCTTTCTGGTATTTCAGTTACCTAAAGTCAGTCCAGGACTGAACATGTTAAATGGAAAACTTCAGAAATAAATAATTCTTAAGTTTAAAATCACGTGCCATTCTGAGTAGTGTGATGATACCTTGCACCATCCAGCTCCAACCCACAGAGAAGTGAATTATCCATTGTCACTTAGTAGCCCATCAGTCACTTAGCAGCCACCTCAAGTTATCACATCTACTGTCATGTTATCATAATGCATGAGTCCATGTAATTTTTATTTTATTTCATAATAGCCCCAAAAGTCAACTGTAGTGATTCTGGCGTCTGGAAATGCCAAAGAGAAGCCATAAAATGCTCCCTTCAGGCAGTGAAAATGTAGAAAGTACAAAAAGATATTTTGAGAGTGGGAAAGAGAGAGATTACATTTGAAATACTTTTTAAAAAGTTTTATTTAAGTTACACAAGTTTCATGTATTTCATATATACAGGTTTAGGACATAGTGATACCAAAGTGATATTTCTCACCCTATACTCCCTCTTGCCCATGCTCTAGCTCTTCTTCTTCTTCCCTTTCCCATTCCCACTCTTAATTTTTACAAAGATCTACTTTCAGTTTACTTAATGATTGTAAAGTTAATCCTGCACTAAGTAAAAAGAATTCAACAAATATTATGAAGAAAAAAAAAAACACACTGTTCCTCAGCAGAATAGACAAGGGCTATAAACAATCATTGAATCATAGAATGTCTATTCCACTGCAATACAGTACATTTATGACCACGTGTAGTTATAATCATTCTATTTTGTGAAGTATTATTGTTAATATCTTATTGGATATAATTTGTAAGTTAAACTTTATCAGAGTTGTGTGTATATAGGAAGAAAACAATGTACACAGATTCTGTCACTACCTGCAGTTTTAAGCATCTGCCTGGAATCTTAGAACATACCCTGCAGATAAGGGACACTACTGTACAAGTACTACTTTTTGCATTGAAATGGATAATAGCCTTTATGTTTTTATTATCCTTGTAATAAAACCTTTAAATGTGAAGTAAAATGGTTTGTATTGCAGCTCCAGTGCTGGAACCAGGAGTGCAGGGCCAAAGGATACTGTTGTGTATACAAGGACGTATGTGGAGAATAGGTACTACTTCAAATGTTTTGCTGTATTTTATAATTTTGACATGCTGTATATTTAAAAAGAGATGCTATTACTTTAGGGTATTTTTTTCAAGTAGAAGACTATGTTGAGGTCGTGGTATATCATTCTTTATAATGCTTTCAATATTAAATAGTTGGTAAATAATCATAGTCATTGAAGGGACTAAACAATGTTTTAATAAAACATATGTATACTTAAAAAGATTTATTTATTTACTTTGAAAGTCAGAGTTACACACACACACAGAGAAGAAGAGACAGAGAGAGAGAGAGAGAGAGAGAGGGAGACAGAGAGGGGTCTTTCATCTGCTGGTTCACTCCCCAATTGGCCACAACAATCAAGCTGTGCCAATCCAAAGCCAGGAGCCAGGAGCTTCCTCTGGGTTTCCAATGTGGGTGCAGGGGCCCATAGGCTTGGTCAATCTTCTGCTTTCCCGGGCCATGGCAGAGAGCTGGATTGGAAATGGAGCAGCTGGGTCTCTAACCAGCATCCACTTGGGATGCAGGCACTGCACACGGTGGCTTTACCTGCTACACCACAGCGTCGGCCCCAAACATTTGTATAGTTAATAGAATTGCCATGTGTGGGTTCTCACATAAACATATATAACTGCATGATTATAGTAAGCTTTGTAAAATTACACACATATTCCTATATGAATTTGGAGTCCCGTTTTAATTTGAAATAAGGGATATAATTAAGGAGATGCATTTTGACCCAAACTACAGGGAACTGAAGTCTCATGAAGTCTTCTGCTTGGAATGATGGATGCTGAGGAAGATTTCAATAAGTCAGGGATTTATAATCCATTTGGTCTTAAAAGAGTATAAAACAAGGATTGGCCTAATTGTGGAGTAAGATAACAAGGGGCATGCAAATGTGGCTATATGTTCACATATGTTCATCAGAGCCCATTTCAGAGGCCAACTGTTATATAGAGACGTGTTCTGTGTAGGGATACTGAGAGGCTTCAGAAAACTCCATACATGTCAGGAGACAGACAGAAAGACAGAGTGACCTTCCATCCACTGTTCACTCCCCAAATGTTTGCAGCCCCCAGCACTGGACTGGAGCCACAGTCAGTCTAGGTCTTCAGTGAAGGTGCAGAAATGTAATTCCTAGAGCCATCACTGCTACTTCCCAGGGTGTACATTAGTGGGAAGCTAAAATCAGGAGTTAGAGCTGGGGATTGAAACCAGACACTCCAGTGTGGGACACAGGAGTCTTAACTGCTAGGCTAACTGCCCACCTCCTGTCTGCCTTCTAATTAAACTAGAAGATACAGTACAACACATTAGTACTCTATACTTTGTGTGTCTGTGTGGGTGCAGTCTATTGAAATCTTTACTTAGTGTATACTAAGTTGATCTTCTGTATATAAAAATAATTGAAAATGAGTCTTGATGAAGAATGGGATGGGAGAGAGAGTGGGAGACGGGATGCTTGCAGGAGGGAGGGAGGTTATGGGGAGAAAAGCCGCTATAATTCAAAAGTTGTACTTTGGAAATTTATATTTATTAAATAAAAGTTGAAAAAAGATAAAGTATTTCAGAGTAAACTTTAAAATAGCAAGTAGTTACTATGTGTGATAAGTAGTTAATAAACTGATAAGTAGTATCAAGTAAAATTTCAATGAAGGCAAGAATCAAATATTTGCAAATAGAATGAAAATAGTATAATAATTTATTCTATATTTACCAAGTAACCTCTCTCACACATTGTTAGCTTTGTGGGATATCCCACCAACCCACTTTGCCTTTGAAAGAACTGTCTCATGGCAACTAATACCAAACAACTGTAACTTCTTTTTATTTAAAGAACCAGTATTTTTAGAATTAGGAATATTCTGCAAAATACCATATTCTTGGTTTTTTTATTTATTAACTAGATGAACTAAAACATACTTATTTAACTATGATGGCTATAGTTTATTTTTAAACTCCATTGCATATATATATATGTGTGTGTGTATCTATGTATACCTAACATTCATAGATATACTAATGATACTCTAGACCAGTGTCATTAGCATCACCTGGGAACTTGTGAGACGTGAAAATGCTTTGACCACACTCTTGACATGCTAAATCAGAAACTCTTTGGGTGGGGCTAGAAATCAGTTTTACCAAATTCTTCATATTTTTTTGCTACATATTCAGGTTTAAGAACCACCACTAAAAAGTTTAGAATCAATATTATGGTCTTTTAGGCCAAAATTTTTTAGGCCAGAAAACTCTGGGAGGACTGAGTGGCCACTTCTTTTTGTAACCTTTGATTTTAAAGTTTATATATTTATTTTTATTTGAAAGGAAAGAGGGAGCGGGAACTAAAGGTGGGGTGGAGTAGGGGGACTTCTATTTGCCGGTTAACTCCTCATATGGCTGCAATAACCAGGACTGGCTGGGCTGGTCCAAAGCCAGTAGCGTAGAACTCAATCCAGGTCTGCCTCAAATGTGGCAGGGACTCAAGCACTTGAGCAATTATCTGCTGCCTCCGAGGCTGTGCGTTAACAGGAAACTGGATTGGAAGCCGACTTGATTTCAGGCACTCCAGCATGGAAAACGAATGTTCCAACCAGTAGCTTAACCACTGCACCACAACACCTGCCCTGCCCTGCCCCACATCTTAGTCTAACAAGGATGATGATGCACCTCAAACACCCCTTACATCCCCAAAGCCTGCACTGACAGACCCTGCAATATCCTAGAGACTCTGGAATCACATTTTCAGTTGAGTCCTTGTTTCCCATTTATTAGTGATGGAGCCTTGGAAAAGTGACTCTCCAAGACTGTTTCCTCATCATCAAGTGACATTGATGACATGCATCCTTCATAAAGATGTGCAAACTGTTACTTGGCATTGTGAGGTTAGATGTAACATGAAGTAGATTTTTGTTCTGACAGCAGTCTGCCTAGGGCAATTTGGAGGGAGATATTTCTCATTAAAAATTCCAAATGAGTGCTGTGGAATTATCATTCACTGTATGAAATAATAGGAACATATTGCTTCCAGTCCTAACATACTCCCAGGTAGCATAAGTGCTTGGGAAGCAATTATAAGGAGCCAGCTGGCTAGTGCATGATGGATTCTATTCTTCTCTAGGAAAGACTGGGATTTACAAACTGGGGCACTCTACAGGGTGGAAAAGAACTTCAAAAAGTTATACTTCTTTTGCTTTCATTCTAAATTATTCTTTCTTGAATATTTTCAAGTTAAATAATTCTAAGTTCAAGAATCTCTATTTCTTACCGTGAATGGCATCAGTGTGTATGCACTGTTCCTGCTTGAGCTTTGTGTGTTTTCTCTGTCTATTTTAGACTGCATATAGTGTTCTTTTAGTAAATAAGTGAGGGGCAAGAACACATTTAAGGAAAAGTGGTGAATTCTTTTCCTGTTCACATCTGTTCCTGTACTCCTCCCCCTACTCTGCATTGTAGCTATGTCAACCGGGAGGTGGCTTGTGTATCAGTGCTTTTACACATTAAAAAATGCAAGGTGTCACTATATCATCCTGTCTTGTAATATCACAAAGGATAGTAATAATAAAGTTGTGTGAGGGAGTGGGAGTGTATCTCTTTACTTGCATATCAGTATTTATATCAATAAAAGGGAAATGGCCTGATTCTCATATGTCCATCTGTTTCTTTATAGCAAATCACCAAAGGATGGCTATCAGGAGATTATCTCTGGGAAATACATACAGACTGTGTATTCCACTTCAGATAGGTGAGTATGTCTATGTCTCCATACATAGAAGTATGTACATATATGTAATGGCACAAGTGAGCACATACACACATACATACTTACATATTCACCAAGTTTATGGAAAATTCACATTCTCTTTTTATCGTATTTAAAATAGACATTTTGGAACCCTTTGTATGTATATTCTTATTGTCCTTTGTCCTTTATCTTGAATGATGGCTTTCTTGATGCTAATTGTTCTATCAACAGAGCAAGCCACTACCACCACACCCAGGAACGTATTTCTGTGTGTTTATTGCCATCCTGGTGGTTGCTGCTGTCTGAGCTTAATGCACGTTATTCCAAAAGACCTTTCTGTGCCTGACAGCTGCTTCCCAGGCCAGCCCCTCTGCTGCTGGGGATTCCCAGGAGTCCCCAGTGCTGCCACATCATTAGCATCTCAGCCTTACTGCATCATGAGACTGTGCCCTTAGCCTTCCCTCCTTGTCTTACAGACAGCTGCGTGGATCTGCTGCTATGACCCTCTGGGGACCCAAGCTCAGTTCCCAGGGGTGGGGTTATGATGAATATTGATCTAGAAACTGGCCCTATGCCAGACTCTTGCTGCAGAGATCCTCTTACTGCACTTACTGTTCAGTGGTATATAGGTAATACTCATGGATGTGTGACCTGCATATTTCCAGTGGAAGAAGTGAAAATAAATAATTAGCATTTATCCCAATCACTACAAATGAGCTGTAATGCAAATGTCTGATATTCCATGGATGGTGTTTTTCTATAGGAATGGTGGAAGGATGGTTTATTGAGGAGAAGGTCATACCTTATTTTTATTTGTAGCCTCAGCTTCTAATGCAGTGCTTGGCACCCAAGAGATACTCATTAAATATTTTCTGAAAAAAAAAAATGAATGCATATTTCATTTGCTAAGAAAAATATGGCTGGACCAGGCATCAAAATTATACCTGCCATTTTTAGATTTATTTATTTATTTGAAAGGCAGGCCATCTGAGAGGGGAGGACAGGGAAAGAAGGAGAGGGAGAGGGACAGGATGAGAGGGAGAGGAAGAAAGAAAGGGAGAGAGAGAACGCCTCCATCTTTTGGTTCATTTCAAAAAGCCTGCAGCAGCCAGCGTTGGGCCAGGCTGAAACAGGATGAGCCAAGGCAGGATACGTTAGTAGGAAGCTGGATCAGAAGCAGAGCAACTGAGACTCAAACAGGCACTCTGATATGGGATGCTGGCATTGCAAGCAGCGTCGTAACTTGCTATGCAACAACATTGGTCCCTATCTCTTTTCTGACCCTTTTACAAGATCTTGCCCCTAACCAGTACTCTTCTGAGTATTCTGCCTTCAGGTCACATCTCTCCCAGGAATAAAGTAACCCTCACAAGCATTACAACTACAGGTACTGTCTAGTAGCAAAAACAGAACTAGATTATCCTAATGCTTTGAAAAGATCTTTGACCAACCACATGACTTTAGTAAGAACAATACTAACCTCAGAGCTTTCCTTGGCTTTGTATTTTCATTGTTAAATCAGGTAAGCATTCTTCATAAAAGTATTGCTAGTATGAAGAATGAAAGTCCTGTTCCTAATGTGGCCTTTGACATTTTCTTACTTCCGAGTGCAAAAGTTAATTCTCCACAAGACAAGTCAAACAAGTTTTGTTGTTAAGTGCATGAAATTGGCTATACTTCTTAAATAAACACCTCAACCCCATTTCTCATTTCCAGTGCCTTCCCACTTTAAAGGAGTAAGTCAGATTTCCTTTGCATGTGCTCTATGGGAACCTGCTCCCCCGAATATCAATTGCTATAATGCATTTGTCCACCCTGTTCACTTGGCTCAGAATTCTTCCATCGTGCCCCACAACCTGTTTCATTGAGCCTGCCTTGAGAGCTCTTCATCTTCTAGCTGTTACCCATATGACACTTTTTTCTGACAAACCTTTCCTAGTTTCACCCTGGGAGTTGATTTCTCTCCTCAGTTTCTCTCCTAACTCTGTACATCCCCATGCTAGGCTGCCATCGTTAAATCGCACACCTAGCTTCCCCAGTGGAAATGGAAGCATGTCTCATTACTGCTTGTATCCCCAGATCCTAGCTCCATGGCTGTAGAATGGACAGATGCTGTAGGGCACCTGTTTTCTTTCTTTCTTCCTTCCTTCCTTCCTTCCTTCCTTCCTTCCTTCCTTCCTTCCTTCCTTCCTTCCTTCCTTTCTTTCTTTCTTTCCTTCCTTCTTTCTTTCTTTCCTTCTTTCTTTTTATTTATTTGACAGGTAGTGATAGACAGTGAGAGAGAGAGACAGAGAGAAAGGTCTTCCTTCCATTGGTTCACTCCCCAGATGGCTGCTACAGCTGGCGCTACACCGATCCGAAGCCAGGAACCAGGTGCTTCTTCCTGGTCTCCCATGTGGGTGCAGCTGCCCAAGCACTTGGGCCATCCTCCACTGCCCTCCTGGACCACAGCAGAGAGCTGGACTGGAAGAGGAGCAACTAGAACTAGAACCCAGTGCCCATATGGGATGCCGGCGCCACAGGCGGAAGATTAACCAATTGAGCCAGGGCGCTGGCCCCAGGGCACCTGTTTTCTATGCCTGTAGTCCTAAATGAGAAACCTATGTGTGTATGCACATACATATGCAGCTATGACAATAATCCATAAGAGTATATTTGTCAATAAGCAACAAGCTCTAGAGTGAATTGAGATAGGAAAATATTTGTATATGTGAGTATTCAGAAGAGGTTCCTAGAACGACTCAAACCATCAAATCAGACAGGTTTTATCTATTCCCTCCGATTTCCTGTTCCCTTCCATTTTTCCCTCCTCTCTCTGCTTCTCTCCCTGAGCTTCATGGTAGATATGTGGCTCCTCAAAGTGACTACTTCATCGCAATGGTAGAAGGACTCCATAGTCCTCATAGGCAGCCAAGGACTCCTAAACCATGCTGCCTCCATTCAAATCCTGCCTCTGATACTTACTGATTGCGTGACTGCTGCAAACTACCCTTCTGTGCTTTGATTCCCTTTTCAGAAGCTGCTGATAAAAATAATAGTGCTGACTTCTCAATGCCATTGTGAAGAATAAACAAGTTTATGTAACTAAAGTGCATGGAAAAATGCACCGCACCCAGGAAGCACTATCTATCGCCTGTTTCCCCACTCCTTTATGGAGCTTTCTCTGGAGATTCAAGCCTGCATGTAGATGCTCAGAAACTTGTAAACCTGGCAAGGTTCCATCTAAGACAGTTGTGAGGACTTCTGGTGGGGAAGGAATTCTTTCCTGAGGCTCTGGTGAGAACCAAGATTTTGGACTGCCAGTCACATCTGTAGTTCATTTATCGATGGATGCTGTTTTCCCAAAATAAACAATATTTTTTGTCTTTATCAAATTGTGTCAGGATTATCTTCCCAGAGAGTTGAAATTTTGTCATAATAGATCTCCCTGTGTCCTCAGCCTTACAATGACAGCAAGAGGAATGTTCTGGGGACCTGGATGCTAGAGTCCTGAGTACTGCAGACCTATTAATTGTGAATTTATCAATACACACTGGAATGGATTTCTATTTTGGGCCTACTGACTGTTTAGAGATTTAAAAATTTATATTCTTCTGAAGCATATTTTTCCATGTAATTTCCAAGATGATCTATGGAAATGAAAAGCTTCTAGGAGTACTTATCACCCAGTTAAACTTGGAAATGGCACATCTTTGTCTTGCCCAGATGTACTCTGGATTGCTAATGAATTAATAATTTGGGACTTTCCTTATGTTAATTCTTTGACACCATTTCTGATAACTAGAAAAATCAATTCTATTAAGGGAGTATATAAACCCTGAACTTTCCTTGATGTTTGTGCAATTTCCTAAAGTATCATCAATTTAACATATCATCTCCATGTGACTCTCCAAGGACTAGATCTGTCTTTTGTATGATGGCAAATTTATTTTTTTATTGCTTATGTCTCCATAGGTCTGTCATTGAAAGAGATATGTGCACTTACTGCCGTAAACCCTTGGGTATAGAAACGAAAATGATTTTAGATGAGTTACAAATCTGCTGCCATTCCACTTGCTTTAAGGTAAAGATATGCTTAACTCACTGAACTAAATGTCAAATTGTATAATGACAGGAATAAAAATAAGTATTTAATGAAATACATGGAATGAAGTTAAAGCTTTCAGAAATATTATCATCCACATTAATAGTGCAGTGCTTAAATATTTCTTATTAGAGTTCTGCAGCTTAAACCTCAAATTGGCAATTACTATCTTGATTTTAGGCTTAGAATTTATTATTGGTACATTTATTCACTCCTACTCAAGAGCTTTAAATCTGTGATAATCATAAGCACTTCTTTTTATAAAAGTTTTGGTAACATTTTGATAAATAATGCATTACCTAAAATATATAATGACATCAAAAACAGAAAATAAATTGAGAAAAATTTATATTATGTGGTTAGGACTAATGAGTTTTACGAGAGTTGAGACACAGTTTGCTTTGGGGAACATGCTTAATTATAATTAATTGTAGCTTAATAAATAATAAAGCTTTCATTAGGAGAATGCTTCATAGCTTGTGTTTCATGGGCTGTTTTGTTCTCCCAGTAACACTGGGGAGGTGAACATTACAGTTTCTGATGTAATTGCATGAGCACTCACCAGGGAATCTGAAGACCTGAGTTCTAGTTCTGCCTTTGTCACCAACTGTAGATGTGTGGCTTTGGAAAATCACGTAACTCTGTTGTCTTACCTGTAAAATGAGGTAGCTGTCTAAATCAGTGGTTCTCAAAGCTAGCTGCACAAAATAATCATCAGGGGGAGGTTAGAAAGAAAAATAGAAAGTTGGGGACAGTTAAATCAAAAGGCTCCGAGATGACTCCTGGGTATTAGTATTTTCAAAAGCTCCTTAGATTATCTGTCTATTACAGGCAGTTTGAGAAACATTTGCCCAAATCTATGGGTACTTTCTAGTGCTGGCATTTTACTGTTGCTGCAAACTAACCCTTTAAATAGATATGATACTTAAAAAGTTATGTATTTATTGATTTGAAAAGCAGAGTTACAGAGAAAGAGGGGGAGAGATAGAGTGATCGTCCATCTGCTGATTTACTCCCCAAGTGTTTGAAATGGCCTGGGCTGGGCCAGGCTAAAACCAGGGGCCTGGGTCTCCATCTGCATCTCCCACATGGGTGGCAGGGGCCCAAACACTTGGGCTGTCTTCCATTGCTTTCCCAGGTGCATTGGCCGGGAGCTGGATTGGAAGAAGAGCATCTGGAACTCAAGCTGGTGCCCAAATGTTGCTGCTGTTGCAGGTGGCAGCTTGTCCTACTGTGCCACAATGCTGGCACTGGTAGTTTAATTGATTGCTTCTCCTCCACTTACTGTCAAATGGTGACATATAGCAACCAGCAATATGGTTCCTCATTTTGACCAAAAAATAAATCTAATGTAGATTTCTATATAAAATTTGATCTCAAGTTTGAATATTTATAACATGAAATATTTTCATTGGTTATTAAATATATTCAATTAAACAAAGTATTAGCTCTTTATTTAAAATTATGCAGAAAACTTTCTAAAACAACAAAATTCATCTATTGCTTTTGATAAATAATTTTCATTTATTATATTTTAAATAATTTGTTTCAATTTCAGTGTAGTTTTAGTATATGACTAATTCAGAATAAGGGTGTTCCTCATGCTCCTGGGAAAAGATGGATTGTTCTATAGCCATGGTAATAGAGAACTACCTGAACTGGTGTAAACTTGGCAAGTTGATCTATGACAATTTGCTTCTGAAAGCCCACCAATCAGTGACAACTTCATGCTTGTCATTCAGCCAATCAGCAGTAGGCAAGTCTGAAGCAGAGGTCAACTCTTTTCTCTCTCAATAACCAACAAAATTCAAAACAACCCCCCCCAAAAAAAACATGTAAGGTCAATGATTTGTTTTGCTCAGTGCAGTTGTTTGCAGATAGCGTAGCTCTCCTTGTCAAAACAAACAATAAATTATTATTTGTCTTTGAGATATTGAGTCATCTTGTCCTTGGCATAACCAATATTTGAAAATTTACGTCTACTTCATTAACTAAAAGATTTCTGTGATATTCCCTGACATGTATTTCCATGAAAATACTGTGGGAATATATTTGAAAAAGTTGTCACATGGCTTAGACACAAGAATTTTCTTTATTTCCTTATGGTTTGTCTAGAGGTTCCATCTGACCGTTACTATAAAAGATAGTATTAAATGAATTGAAAAAGGTCACTAACTCCATTGCTCTAAGAATATAGACTTAATTTGCAATGTTTCCTTTTAAGTGTGAAATATGCAAAAAGCCTTTGGAAAATCTACAGGCAGGTGACAGTATTTGGATTTACAGACAGACAATACATTGTCAACCTTGCTACTCTAAAGTTATGGGTAAGTACTGTACTCTGTAAGCTAACATTAACGTGCATTTGGTGTTGTAAAAAACAATGTATTTCAATAAAGTAAGACTATTTTATTATGTTTAGCTCAGAATTCAGCTGCACCTAGTTACAATATGGTAGTAAATTTTATATAATTTTGTTTAATGTTATAAATCAATCAACATTTATATTATCTTCTTATATTAGAGCAGACAATAGATGAAGCTAAGCAAAGAGGTATTTTATTTTAGAAAATTTTCAATGTTTTTCCAAACCCAAGCAGACCCTCTCTGCTCAAATAAATGTTCAAATTGGAGTCTATTTCTGTAAATTACTTTTTAGATTAGAATATATGTTTAAACTAATTTTGTTACTGTGATAAATGTCTTTTAATGTTACTTTCAAATGGAAAGTTTAGAGGTAATTCTATATAATTCTACATTAAATGTAACAACTAAGTTTTGAAGTCAGTTTAAGATGAATGTTAATATAGTTTGACTTATTTTTAGCATAAATAATGTAAGAAGGAAATATTAACTAACGTTTTCTCTAAGCCCAAAAGATTTGAAAGATGGGAGCACTACATGATAAATTAGCAAAATAATGTCTTAATGAAAACTGATTGTTTTTAAAAGAAAGTATGAATGTTTTATTTTTGAATTCAATAGTAATAAGATAAAAATAACCAAAATGATATTGAGGCGATGTCAACAGCATATTTTATGTTGCTGATATCTTGATGTAGAAAATGAAAGAGTAACATTTGGGATCCCTACATGGGATCCAAAGTACGGCTCTTTTATGACAATGTGTGATCTTAATGAGCTACTGGGTGGTACAGCTGGAAAATGCTCTGAAAAATATTCAGTAACCCACGTTCCATCAGGCTGCAAAATCAATTACAAGAACAAACCTAATTATATTCATACTTCGTCTTCTATTTTTTACTTTCTCCAGACAGTTCTCAAATTCACTTTTCATTCTAATTTAGCACAATCCAGTATTATATCATAGCTCCTGTTGTACATGGTGGAAGCTCTAAAACTTCCAGCCTCCCAAGTGTTGTTACCAAAATCTCAGAAGTCTTTATGGCTCCTGCCTTGCCTATGTATACTCCAGAGATCTTGCATTTTTAATTGAACATCCATGTTTAGAAGATAAGATTCTTAGGCATCACATAAATATGTCTATATGGTATTGGGTAGTTCATATATTACAGCATAGCCAAATGCCACAGTGATCAACTCTCCGGAGTAGAAGGAAAACTGGAATGGTTAATCTACCACAACCCCATGGATGAATGGTTGTTTAGTTATTCTGTACTAAATTTGCATATCTAACTGTTATTCTCTTTAATTTTTTTCAGCAAAGTGGATTCAATAATTCTGTCATGGAAATCAAGATGAGAAGCATTCATTAAGGAATTAATAAGTTTAATTTTAAGAATATATAATCCAGAAAAGCTTTTACACTGAAGATTTATATAAAATTAATGATTCTGCTATTACATAAATAATCTAATTGCCTATAATAAGGTCATAAACATTCAAAACAATCTGGCTAGATTTAGTGATAAAAAATTTGTGTGGTTCCAGTTGCTAATGTCAAAAGAATGAGCTTCTCATGGCAGTAAGTACTGTCAGCCCTAGCCAGGTGGATCCCTGCTCCACACTTGGGTTGTGCATCAGGCTTTCCATTGTAGCCACCCTTCTCACGTTCTCACCTTTGTCTTCCTGAAATGAATTTACAGATATTGACATACTGACAAAGAAATGCCAATTAAGATTTCCATATAAAGTTTTGAACAAAGATACTAACATTAAAAAGTTGTATGGACTTCAGAAGAAAAGTTAAAATTTCCAGATCTCTGAGCCATAATTTATAACAATAGGGACATTGAACACAATGATTCCTACAGTCTCTTTTTGTTCCTCCAATTTTCTGATTCTAAAGAAAGTTTGAGTTTGCTTATGTGTATGCTAAGCATTTTGAAATAGAACATAGAAACAATTTAATCTCAGTGTCATCCTTCAGCTTAACACAGGCATGGTTTTTATAGCCTGCATTTAAAAAGATAAGTAAATTTGTGGGTAATAGGTAAAATCATATGGCATTAATAAATTGTTTACATATTATAATTCATTAAATTTTCTTTGCATGTATTTGAAGATATGGGTATACAAATAATCTATGAGAAAGAATAGCTATGCATTATAAAGACATGTTCCTTAGCATGTTACTTGTATTCTTAATACATAGCACTTTGTATTTATGGAAAGTTTATAAAAATAAAATGATCTGTCAGCTATCCAGTATCCTTTTGTGGAGTCTATAATTAATAAACATTTATTTTTGTCAATTATAGGGATCAAAATTTATTATGTTTTATGCTGTGCTACTTAAATTGCTTTTTTTAAAAAAAATTATTTATTTATTTGAAAGTCAAAGTTACACAGAGAGAGGAGAGGCAGAGAGAGAGAGAGAGGTCTTCCGCCCGATGGTTCACTCCCCAATTGGCCGCAATGGCCGGAACTGCGCGGATCTGAAGCCAGAAGCCAGGAGCTTCCTCTGGGTCTCCCACGTGGGTGCAGGGGCCCAAGGACTTGGGCCATCCTCTGCTGCTTTCCCAGGCCATAGCAGAGAGCTGGATTGGAAGTGGAGCAGCCAGGTCTCGAACCAGCACCCATATGGGATGCCAGTGTTTCAGTCCAGGGCGTTAACCCGCTGCGCCACAGCGCCGGCCCCTAAATTACTTTTTTTAAAAGAAAGATTTTTTTAAAAAAGATATTTTTAAAAGAAAGATTTATTTATCTATTATTTATTTATCTATTTGAAAGGCAGTTACAGAGAGGCAGAGGCAGAGAGAGAGAGAGAGGTCTTCCACCCACTGGCTCACTCCCCAAATGGCCACAGTGGCCAGAGCTGTACCAATCGAAGCCAGGAGACAGGAGCTTCCTCTGGGTCTCCCATGTGGGTGCAGGGGCCCAAGTACCTGTGCCATCTTCTACTACTTTCCCAGGCCATAGCAGAGAGCTGGATCAGAAGTGGAGCAGCTGGGACTCAAACCGGCACCCATATGGGATGCTGGCACTGCAGGCAGTGGCTTTACCTGATACTTGTAACAGCTCAAGCTTTAGCTTTTATTTTAATGGGGCTTTTTTGGGGAAGAAACTGAAAATCCAATAATCACATGAAAAACAAATATTATTAAAACTGAGAAATGAACCAAACCACTCTATATGCATTGGTGACAACTATTTCTCAAAGAAGGGCTTATTATGCATGCTGAGTGTGAGTGAACTCTGAGGGGAGTTTTAATCAATTAAAAGACTGACATAAATTATGGAGATTAAAGTATGTTTATAAATTCAAGAATTTTTCTTTTGTATAATAATTCATGCATCTTTCCCTCTTAGGTACTGGGCAACAAAGTGTTAAACACAAAATGTTTGTCAAAATACACAATGTATAATTGTCCTATAGAGAAGGAGCCAGAAAAAAACAATTAATAATAATTTGATATTCATTCACTCATGCTTGCTGAGAAGAAGTAGTAATTGAGCCATATGTTTTATTGTTTTTTTATTACATGCTATCAGAGTGGATCAAAAGAGATAATTTTCTTAGAGTTGACATTTCATTGTGGAAAAGGATGGTAGAAATAATATCCCTGCCTTTTATGTAAAATATATTAACATCTCAATGCTTTTGTAGTAATTAAAAATTATCTGAATATAATTTTAAAAAGTGTAAAAACCTAAAGGGAACACATTTCTCACTTATCTTTAGCTGTTTAATGGGCCCTTTCTTCTACAATAATGTATTAAATCAAACCAAAAGATGTTATAAAGATGGAATAAATACAGAGCAGGGAGAAAATGGCTTCTGATTCACCAGAACCATTTCATTATGTCAGGTTTATTCTCACTGTGGAAATGACAGATTCCTAAAACAAATTGGAATATCTTTTTTTTTTGCAACCAGTAAATTATGTAGTGATTGATATACCTTTCCTGGGGACAGTTGTCTAAATCTAGGAATCCTAGGTTCTGAATTGCATTGTTAATAAGAAAATATCTGTAAAAGAGAATAATAGCTGCATCATGACAATATCCTTCTGAGAAGCAAAGAATATAAATAAAACAATATCAGAAATACAATTTGTTAAAATAGTATTCAATGCTTTGAAAGGGCCAAAAAGTTGGAATTGAGTCAAGAAGCAGTTTTTACACCCTGAATTTCAATCACAACTAATGTATGTGAATGTTGAGACAGTCTGGCTATCAGTCTGTGTACTCTCAGACTTGTTTACTGTGATAGAAAATCATGAGTGTTTGAAATATTTTCCTATTGAGTTTGGTTCAAAGCACCATTAAAACAACTACATGGCAAGCTAACAATGATACTGATTTTTTCTGTACAACTGAATTGTTATTTTGTTACAATGTAAATAAATTACTTTGGAGTTCGACCTGTTCCATAGTTTCAACAGTTCTCAGAGGTACCCATAAATATCAGTACTAACTTGGGGAAGAATTGTTTTTCCTTTTTCCTGGACCTATTTACTCCCACTTAAATTGTGGGTTTTAGAAGTCAGCTTTCTAATGTACCCATGAAGGTTAACATCACATGGATGCATTTCTGCCACACCCTGTTCTAAGATTATCTGTTTTTATTAGCTGCCTAAGGGTTGTTAAATGTTTTGTGTGTACTTCAGGATTGCATTTGAATTTATCACAGCACAAAACTTGGACACAATTCTGTTCCTTAATTACTGAATCTTGGTAGTGCAATTTGAGAAATGTGTTTGAGCATTGGAGAAATAGTCAAGTAAGTAGGTTAGGTAATGATTTCAGTTTTTCAAGAGTAAGTGAGGAAACTGAACATCATCATTGCCTTAAAAGTGCCATCATAGAAGGGTCTTTAATTTTTATAAGATTTATTTATTTTGAAAGTCAGGGTTACAGAAAGTGAGAGGGAGAGACAGAGATCTTCCATCTACAAATTTACTCCCCAGAGGGCCACATTAGCCAGGGCTGGGCCAGGCCAAAGCCACAATAGGAGCCCAAGTACTTGGGTCACCCTCACTGTATTTCCTAGGCCATTAAATAGGATCTGGGTCAGAAGTGGAGCAGCTACATCTTGAGCTGGTGCCATACGGGATGCTGGTCTTCCAGGTGGCAGTTTTACTCACCATGCCACAACACCGACCCCTGGTTCTTCGATTTTTAAAAAAATTTTTTTTGATTAATATATAATACTTGTAAATTTTTTATGTGTACTGCAATATTTCTGCACATGTGTATAGCACAAACTGATCATATCAGTCAATTAGCATTTCCATTTCATCATTTTTAAAGCAAAATATCCTTTTATTTGAAGGCAGAGAGAGGATAAGACAAAAAGATATGAAGAGAGAGATTTTTCATCCACTGTTTCATGTTCCAAATGCCTCCACCAGCTAGGGCTGGGCCAGGCTGAAGCCAGGAGCACAGAACTCCACCCAGGTCTTCCAAATGGTCAACAGGGACCCAAGGCAGCCGTTATCTGCTGCCCCCCAGATTGCACATTAGCAGGGATGCTGGATTGTAAGCAGAGGAGCCAGGACTTGAATCAGACAATTCGATGTGGGATGAAAGCATCCCAAGTGGCATCCCAAGCCGTGCCATAAGCCATCCCCCATTGTGTGTGTGTGTGTGTGTGTGTGTGTGTGTGTGTGTGTTTGGAGCCTGCTAGCACATCCCTTCCAGTTTTATCCAGGATGTAGTACATCATTGTGAACTGTAGTCACCCCATTGTACTGTGGAATACCGAAAACCAGTATTTCTACTTATGTTTCAATATTCCATTTCCACTTCTTTCTGTCCCCTTCTAACCTTTTTTTTTTTTTTTTTTTGACAGGCAGAGTGGACAGTGAGAGAGAGAGACAGAGAGAAAGGTCTTCCTTTGCCGTTGGTTCACCCTCCAATGGCCGCCGCGGCCGGCGCGCTGCGGCCGGCGCACCACGCTGATCCGATGGCAGGAGCCAGGAGCCAGGTGCTTTTCCTGGTCTCCCATGGGGTGCAGGGCCCAAGCACCTGGGCCATCCTCCACTGCACTCCCTGGCCACAGCAGAGGGCTGGCCTGGAAGAGGGGCAACCGGGACAGAATCCGGCGCCCCGACCGGGACTAGAACCCGGTGTGCCGGCGCCGCTAGGCGGAGGATTAGCCTAGTGAGCCGCGGCGCCGGCCTCCCTTCTAACCTTCTAACCCTTCCTAGTCTCTAGTGATTACTATACTAAGTTCACATTCACTTTTATTTTCAATTTGGAAAAGGTCTTTTATTTCGTTGCTTCTGCATTCTCTTGATACATACTTCTCACTAATACATTTAGGTGCCCAGTTGTTTTGGGTTCTGTAAAATATATGCATGGCTTATATTCAACCATAACTTATCATTCAGCCCAGGATGAAGTCTCTTACCTGGGCAAAATGAATCCACACGTATGCTGGATGACACTTCCACGGGGAGAGCCACTGCTGTCTAGAACAGGTGACAACTGGAGTGGAAGCAACGGATCCGCATGATGTTTCTCACCTCAGTTGAGGCACTGAAGATCAAGTCTCTTTGTGTTTTCCAAGCATAAACATTAAACAATAAGCCAGCTTCTTTTATGATCTACAAAATACTTCTTACAGGAACCTTGAAAACTCACCCTGTTCTCTTCTTTGTTGCAATATGAATAGAGTATCTAGTGAACAGAACAGGCAGATACATGTTTCTTAACAGTTATAGTTTGTTAATCTTACATCCTGTCCCAAGAGAAACTGAAAGATAATGAACTTCTGACCCATAAAGGCAAATTGGATTGAAAGTTTCCCACCAGAAAGTGTCCAGACCCTAAGACCAGTGTGACTTTTTTGTGATTTAGCAATAGAAAGACTTCCATGGGCTGGAAATAGTGAATATAAAGAAATGAGCTTGAAGAATTAGACATGGTAGTTTTTTATTAAAGAAATTTTAACAGACATTAAAAATTGCTCATATTAATAGGGGATCTAAAACATGATTTTTTTTATTTTATTTTATTTAATGAACATAGATTTCCAAAGTACAGCTTATGGATTACAATAGCTTCCCCCCCCCCCCATTAACTTCCCTCCCACCCACAACACTCCCCTCTCCTACTCCCTCTTCCCTTCAATTCACATCAAGATTAATTTTCAATTATCTCTATATACAGAAGATCAATTTAGCATATATTAAGTAAAGATTTCCACAGTTTACACCCACACAGAAACACAAAGTATAAAATACTATTTGAGTACTAGTTATAGCATTAATTAAACATCTGAGAGTAATTGTGTATTAATTACAGAGTTCAACCAATAGTTTTAAGTAGAACATAAAAAATACTAAAAGGGTAAAGTATTAAGTTCTTTTGTTTGTTTGTTTGTTATATAGTTATTTTTTTATTTAATAAATGTGAATTTACAAAGTGCAACTTGTGTATTGTTGTGGCTCCCCCCACCAAACCTCCTTCCCTCCCATAGCCCTCCCCCCTCCCACTCCCTCTCCCATCCCGCCCTTCATCAAGTTTCATTTTCAATTACCTTCATATACTGAAGATCAACTTAGTATATACTAAGCAAGGATTTCAACAGGCTGCACTCACACAACTGCACAAGGTATAGGGTATTTTTTGACTAGTAGTGTTGTTTTTAGGTTTCATAGTAGAACACATTAAGGACAGAGATCCTACGTGGGGAGCATGTACCCAGTGACTCCCGTTGTTGATTAACAATTGGCACTCTTATTTATGATGTCAGCAATCACCCGAGACTCTTGCTATGAGCTGTCTAGGCTATGGAAGCCCCTTGAGTTCACCGACTCTGAACTTGTTTAGTCAAGGCCGTATCACAGTGGAGGTTCCTTCCTCCCTTCAGAGAAAGGTGCCTCTCTCCTTGATGGCCTGTTCCTTCTGCTGGGGTCTTGTTCACCAGGAAAACATGATGTTTTGATACATGTATACATTTTTTAGTATACGATCATGGTAAATATATCTGTCTCCCAAAGCATTTAACATTTATTGGTGATGAAAACATTCAAAATCCTACCTTCTAGGTTGTTTTTAGAATATACAACTCATTAAAATTCTCTATGGTCACTCCACTGTGCAACACCAATGGCTAGAGCAGAGCAGATCGGAAGCCAGAAGCCAGAAGCCAGGAGTTTCCTCTGGATTTCCCACGTAGGGGCAGCAGCCGAAACACTTGGGCCATCTTCTGCTGATTTCCCATGCCCTAGACAGAGAGCAGGATCAAAAGAGGAGCAACCAGGACATGAACCGGCATCCATATGTGATGCCAGTGCCACAGGTGGAGCCTTAGCCTACTAGACCGCAGTGCCAGCCCCAACACTACTGTACTTTTAACTGATATGAGATCATCATTTTGAATACTGTGCGTATAATGAGATCATGCAGCACTTGTCTTTCTGTGCTTGGTTTATTTCACCTAGTACAGTGACCTGCACTTTCATACATGTTATTACAATAACAAGATTTATACTTTTTATGGCTAAGTAGGAGTGCATTGTGTATGTGTACCTCATTTTCTTTATCCTTTCATCAGTGGATGGACACCTAAGTTGCTTCCATTCTTGACTAATGTGAGGAGTGCTGCAATAATCATGGGATTGCAGGCGTCTCCTCAACTGACTGACTTCATTTCCCTTGGCTATATATCCAGAGAAGGGATTGCTGGATCATATGTGATAGCTCTTGTCTTAGTTTTTCATAAGGTCTGTAACTAATTTAAATTCCCACCAATAACATACAAGGTTTCCCTTTTATCCACATCCTCATCAGTGTTTGTTACCTTTTGTCTTTTTAATAATAGACAATGTAGCTGGAGTGAGGGGGTGTCTCATTGTGGATTTAATTTGCATTTCCCTGGTGATTAGTCATGTTGGACATTTTTCTATGTACCTGTTGGTCATTTGTATGTATTTCTTTGAAATATATCTGTTTACATCTAGTATATATTTTAAAATTAGATTATATGTGTTTTCTTGCTATTGAGCTGTTTGAATTCTTCATACATTTTTGCTATTAACCATTGTCAGATATATAAATTACAAATACTTTCCCTCTTCTGTAGGTTGTCTCTTCACTCTTGATTGTTTCCTTTGTAGTGTTGAAGCTGAAATTCCATTTGTCTACTTTGGATTTTGTCCTTTGTGTTTTGAGGGTCCGATTAAAAAAATCCTTGATCTTTCCAAATCTCTGAAGTAATTTTCATGTTATTATTCTAGAAATTTCGATTTTGGATCTACACTCAGGTCTTAGATCCACTTTTAGTTGCCTTTGTACCTGGTGATCTTAGTTGACTTTTTACATGGTGGATAATAGTTTCATTCTTCTGATTTATATAAGCCAGTTTCCCTAGGGTCATTTGTTGAAAAGACAGTCCTTTCTCCAGTATATGTTCTTAGCATCTTTATCAAAGATAAGTTGGTAATATAGTTGTGTTTACTTCTGGGGTTTCTAGTCTGCTCTACTGATCTATGTATTTTTTTAAAGTTTTATTTTATTTATTTGAAAGGCAGAGGCAGAGAGAGGGAGAGAGAGAGAAGTGTTCCATCCGCTGGTTCACTCCCCAGATGGCCACAAAAGCTAGAACTGTGCCCATCCAAAGCCAGGAGCCAGAAGCTTCTTCTGGGTCTCTCACATGGGTGCAGGGGCCCAAGGACTTGAGCCATCTTCCATTGCTTTCCCAGGCCATAGCAGAGAGCTGGGTCAGAAGTGGAGCAGCTGAGACTTGAACCGGCACCTACATGGGATGCCAGCGCTGCAGGCAGAGGCTTTACCCTCTACACCACACTCGGCACTGTATTCATTTTTAATCACAATAACATACTGTTTAGATGACTGTAGTTTTGCAATATATTTTAAAGTCTGGTTATGTAATGCTTCCTGCTCTGTTCTTTTTGCACAACATACTTTGCATATTCATGATCTTCTTTGGTTTCATACAAATTTAATAGTTTTTTTCTAGTTTTGTAAAAAATATTATTAAGATTTTGGTAGCAATTACATCGAATCTGAGATTGCTTTGGATACTATGGCATTTTAAGGATACTGATTTTTCCAATCCATGAACACAGCATACTTTCTAATTCATTATGTCCTTTTCATTCTTACATCAGTGGTTTATACTAATCATTGCAGAGGTCATTCACATCTTTGATTAAATTTATTACTGGGTGGGCTTTTTCATAGCTATTGAAAATGAAATTGTTTTCTTGATTTCTCTTGCAGGTAATTTGCTGTTGTTTAAAAATGCAACTGATTATTGTATGTTGACTTTGTATCCTGTAACTGATCTGAAGAGGATCTTTCTATGAATGGCTTGTTCAGAAATTCTTAATGTTGGAGCCTTTGTTAAAAGATCTTCAATTTTTTAATTCTACACCTTTTGTAGCTCCCCTGTCCAGCTCAGTGTGTCTGTGTTAGGGCCTTTTAAAGCACATGCGAAGGCTTAGAATCCAAAGCCTGGAATCCATATTCCACAGAATCCTGCCATCAGTGATGCCCAATGTTGGAGCTTCTGTTAGAAGCACCTTAATTCTTTGGAACAATATTTGTAGCCCCCCTGTCCAGCACAGTGTCCGCATCAGGGCCTTTTAAAGCTTTATCAAAGGCTTGGAATCCAAATCTTGGAATCCAAATCCCACAGAATCCTGCCATTCCCAGGAACACCTTGAGCTGCCTTTTTATATAGAATAGCTTTCTCTTGGGGTTAGAACATACCCCAGGTAATCTACCTCTCTTTTAGAAACCTAACCTTTGGGAAATCCTGTATCCCCACTTTCCCAGATTCTGAGTTTAGTGGGATGCAGAAGAAATTAGCCTGTAGGCAAAGGTTTAGCACACAATAAAATGCGTTGAAACAGCTGTCTTTAATAGTCCTGAGGCCTTTAACCATCCTGTACTCCGTATTTGACCTTATGTTAAAACATACAAGATAAGAATATCACAGAGAGACATGGATGCAAGAGTCCATGTTTGAGACAGTTAATCATATGAGATAGAAATATTAACTTAAAGAGGCACCTAAGAGTGCAGGCAATGGACTTGACATTTAGACATAACTAAAACTTAGGATGCATAGAATATAACATGATAGAACAAGATAAATCTTTGGGAACAAGTTTTACCATTAATTTTAATACTGTAGCTCTTTGAAGACAGAGGTTCTGCAAGAAAAGTTAGTACACAGTGACTCCTGATGTTAATTTAACAATTAACACTCTTACGTATGACGTCAGCCTCAGGTGATCACTGATGTGATACGTAAATTTTTTCTGTGTGTTCTCTTGAAGCTGGTTGAATTTCCTTAAAACAATTATTTTGAAATCTTCACCTGCATATTTGAAAATTCTAATTCCTACTATATGTTGTAATCTGAACATTATAGACAAGTTATTGTAATCTGGCTTTGTTCATGGCTATCTTTATAGAAATTCTAAGAATGCTGTTTATTGTCTCTGAGCCTATGGATACTTCCATCTCTGTTCGAGATGTTACCTTAAATTTAGGTTTGCTGCTGGTCCAGTGTTGATGAGTTTTACTTTTTCAGT